TATTATCTTTTAATAAGTTAAAGATGTCTCCAGTGACAATTTTTTCCATCACAAACTGGTGAACAAACATAGGGTGGCAAAGGCTAATGTAATTGCATTAAAATCTTTTCTATAGTTTGATAATGAATCCAAAGTAGACTCGAAGTTTTAGAGCCAGGATATGCAAAGGTTTTCTTGCTTGCCCTTTTCCTTTCGGATGGAATGTTTCCTTCTTAGCCAGCTGGAATGAGTCTTTTCCCTGAACAGCAATTTCTGCTGCTCATGTCTCAAATGTGTTAACGTGTGGTGACGGAGAGAAGGAAAGATATGTGTTTCTGCTGGGATTGATAATATTCCTTTTACAGTACCCTAAGTCAAAATTTTGAATTAATCCTATGCCTGGATTACAGGCCTACAAGCAGTGCTTTGTTCATATGAATGAGTACACATCTACATTTTTTTTCCTTCCCAGAATTCCTTTTGTATGGAAAATTAGCAAGTTAAGAATAATTCCTCCTTCCAGATATACTATGTTGATATTCTATGATCAAGGCTCTTGAGACTCAGAGTTATCATCTACATCAGAGGTCCCCAACCTTGGCAACTTTAAGACTTGTGGACTTCAACTCCCAGAATTCCTCAGCCAGCTTGGCTGGCTGAGGAATTCTGGGAGTTGAAGTCCACAAGTTTTAAAGTTGCCAAGGTTGGAGACCCCTGATCTACATAGTAGTTGTTCTATATAATATAATGTAAGACAGTCCTCAACAGGTCATATAAAAACACTCTCCTCAATACTTCCTTACTGGATGAGAGTTCAGCAGGAGAATCCTGCCTGTTATAAAGATACATTGAGCCAGCGGACAGAGAAATGTACTTGTGATTTAGGACCTTTCTTGATCTGCTAAGGTAGGGGTCCCCAACCCCCAGTTAGCGGCCCGGTACCGGGCCAATCGGTCCGCACAAACAAGCAAAGCCCCATCCGCGGGATGCTGGCAGCACACAAAACCCTCTGGTCCATAGAAAAACCTCTCTCCACGGAACCGTTTCCTAGTGTCCAAAAGGTTGGGGGCCTCTGGGCTAAGGTTTTACTGACATGGGATATTACATTCAGAGTTTAATTCTGAGAAAGTGATTTTTGTGCCATTAGCCCATAAATGTTCCATATGTCCCACATTGTGGCAACCAGATACATGGGGTGTCCCTGTGGTCTCCTGGGAGTCAATGTTGGATGGTTGTTAACATCATTTTCTAAATCTGTTTCAAACTTTTATATTTTATTTCTTGTTGATGACTTTTGTGGATAGTTACCTGCATAGCTGACTTCCCAAGAGGAAATTGGGAAATTTAAGCAGGTTTGAATGGATGCCATGTTTTTAAAATATGGTTTAGTTTTGGCCTAAATGGCCTACATTTATTTTGGCCTAGTTTTTCCTGGAACTTTCAGTAGAAATCATTATTCTTCTATTCTCTGCAATCAGGTTTTGAAAAGGCATAGATAAAAATAAAAAGTTATGTGAATACATAGTACTTCCCCCTTGTCTTTTCATGTCATACGTGAGTGTTTATTTAAGAGTTTCATGAAGACACATACCAGCAACTAGCAAAGAATAGGGATAAAAGAATGGTTCTCATTATACATAGATGATCCCTGGGGATCTAGATTGGAACCTATGCTTTTTAATTTGTTCAAAAATTATCTGGACTTAGGAAGAAGCTGGGAGATGGCCAGGTTTGTGGACCAAACCAGATTATATAGGGAGAGTACAATAAAAAAGATACATATATGCATGAATCATTTAACCAGATTAATACTAAAAAAGCTTTTACAGAGTTTGCGTATTCAACTATTAGGTCTTTAACTGAATTAATTAAGTAAACACATTGCCAAAGGGATCCAGTTGCTAGAGCAATTTCCAGATGAGAAAAAACATTTGAGGGTTAACAAGGAAAATAATATTAGGGCAAGAAGCACATCTGGAATGTTCAGAGGGTTTGGATGCTCTGAAAATGGCTGCCATCATAGGCATAAAATACCCATTTGCCAGAACACAAAGTAGCCCCTGGAATGTTCTTTACCATTCCAGAGGGGTCCAAATGATTAAAGTAGGTGTTTGCAAATGCTGCCTTTTTATTAATTATTTTGAATTAAGGTAAACTTGATAAAAAGGAGCAGGGTGCCTGGTGGCCACCAACAAAGATGCCTGTGGCAGATTGATGCTTGCAGATGTGACCTTCCCTGTCTCAGAAACCAGTGTAAGGTTTTAAAAAATGTGTCATTCAATTTCATTGAATGAACCAGATTGAGAGATACTGGATAGATTAGAAAGTTCTTATTTGTACATCAAGTTATTAAAATTGAAATTCACAGGACAGCTCTCAGGTTTCCAACAGATTTTTGATCTGATCCTACACGGTTTCACAAAGTTTCTGAATTTGAGACCAATACTACTACTTCTAGCCTGGGTTAACAATGCCACCACTGTGTTTCCCTGAAAATAAGATCCACCCTGAAAATAAACTCTAGCCTGATTTTTTGGGGTGGGCCTAATATAAGCCCTAGCCCAAAAATAAGCCTGGGCATGACCAGCACAAGTGGCGGCAAGTGTGCAGGGGCCGATGGTATCTGGCAGCAGCTGCAGCCCACCAGCAGTGCATATAAGTCATATAAATCCAGCGTAGAGGCAGAGGTGAGGGGGGGAGGCAGATAATCCAGATGTGCCGTGCTCTTTTTGCCCAGAGGGAAATGGTACTTTCATCTGCTTGCAAATGGGGTGGTTGGAAACCAAGGGATTTGCTCCGTTTCCAACCGCCCCATTTGCAAGCAGACAAAGGTTCCAGTTTCTGGTCATTTCTCTATCCGGTGAAAAGTGTTTGGGCGCCTAGAAACTGAGCTCAAAACTTTTTGCCCAGAGACTGGAAGCTTCGTCTGTTTGCAAATTAGGTGGTTGGAAACGGAGCGAATGCCTTGGTTTCCAACCGCTCCGTTTGCAAGCAGATGAAGGTTCCAGTCTCTCTCTGGGCGAAAAGTGTTTGGGCGCCTGTGGAGCACTTGGGGCAGTTCCACCCTCTCTCCCATCTCCCTCACCTTATGGCGGCAGCCTGGCACTGTGGGCTATGCGGCCTCCTGCGAGCAGCTGCGAGCAGCCACAGAGGTGGGCCAGCGGCCACACAGGCTCCTGATGGACAGGGCTGTTGGTGTCGCCACCACGAGGCGAGGCAGGTGTCAGGAAAAAAATAAGACATCTCCGAAAATAAGACCTACTGCCTCTTTTGGAGGAAAAAAAATATAAGACCGGTCTTATTTTTGGAGAAACATGGTAGAAGTTAGAGGAGCCAATGATGAAGAGCTAATACAGTTTCTTAATATGGGACAACAATTCAGTAAAGTCTCCTTCACCAAGGTTAAAGAGTGACTGTATCTGTATTGTATCAAGACTTTGAGCCACATCATACTGGTAAGGGAGAAAGGGTTACCGGATGTGAAAATTTTGAGTAAATATCCTTATGATTATGTTCTTTTGATGGGGTGGTATGAAGCATTTTGTAAACGTATTGGCATTCTTACTGTGATTAACAACAGTGATATATTTCTTCTTCCTAATGGAGGATTCTGGCATGATGTCCATGCAGTCATTTATTGCTTTTACACTCAGTTTATTCTGGAACCTTGGGTGCTAAATTCATGCTATTGGCTTAAAGGTTTCTCACGTCCCCAGTGGCTGTAATGGATGGCTCTGTTTAAGATATTGCAGGAGCCAAGTCTTCCAACGCTTTTTATTGAATAGACAAATCCTTGTATCAAGGAATAAGATGAGATCATGACAAAGAGGCCTTGCCAACAGAAGGGAAAAGAACTAAGGATGTTAGCTGAATCCATGACAACTTGCAAACTTTTAAAAAACCTGAAAATACTATGTCATTTTGTAGTGAGAGGCCTTTAATTTTACAATGGTGTGTAGATAACCTTTCTTATGTACATACACAAAGAGAAAGAAAAAAATGGAATTTTTTTTTTTTTCTTGGGCTTTGTCTCTGTGTTATGTTTTAAACTTGGGGGAGCATGTTCATCCCTTTGTAGCATAGGGGCTACAGAGAACCAAGATAGAACGAAGCTTAACTACAGTAGGATTCACCACCAGCATTGCCAGAGAATCCCAAACTATTTGGCAAGGTTCGAATCAAAATGTGGCTTAGCATTGTTCAGCAGTATGAGGATTAATTTGAAGGCTGAGAAGTGGGAAACTGGATAGACGCGAAACATCAGGAACTGGACAAATAGGATCTCAACTAACCTCCCTCTGTGTCAAAAGCTTAGTACCTGATTTTCAGATACCAAACTATTCCTATACTTTCCAGATTTGTTAATCAATAGATAGGGTAGAAGCCCCCCTCCCCCATGACTAAAAATGTAATTATTTCAGCAGTGTTTGAGAGGGATTTTGGCATTTGCCTCCTCCCTCTCTCATTTTTTGATCTAACAGTATTACCACCACACTATGTTATAAATCTGGAATCAGAAGGCACGTTGAGGACCTGAAAATCCTGGGTTTCTATCAGTTCACATTTTAAAATGTTTTTGATAACTTAGCATTTAACATGGTACCAAGCCAAACAGATTACAAACTATTCTCAGTAAAAGATGTGAATACCCAGAGATAAAACACAGGGGGAAACATGCTACAAGATAAAGCAAGATAAAATCCTATACTAAGAGGAAAGAATGAGAAAAGAGATTGAAAAAAGATTTTTTTTGTGGTTATCCCCTTTGTTAAATTTATATTCCACTTTTATATTCCAATTTATATTCCACTTTTTATATAAAGCTAAGTATTGTACACAAATGCATCTTCTCTTTTTTCTCACAAGCACTGTCCTTTAAAGTAGATTTTCCTTTCCTTTTTCCTTTCTCCTTTCCTTTCCTTTCCACCTATATCTATGAAGATATTTTAATTACTTATGTGCATCAATAATAGGTGAGTAAATATATTCTATTGATTGGCGGCTTGGTTTTTCACTAACAGGTTCAGAGACCATTCCCAGTTATCCCAGCAGTGTGATGGATGCCACTCGAGATGCTGGCCTCAAGCAAGTTGCACCGGCAAGGACAGAGAAGCCAGCTGCCGACTTTGCCTACGTTGGGATTGATGCCATCCTCGAACAGATGCGAAGGAAAGCCATGAAACAAGGCTTTGAGTTCAACATCATGGTTGTTGGTAAGCCTTCTTACTTTGGTGTGTCTGTGTAGAGACTACATTGGTCACACTAGCTAAGATTCAGAAAAACTGGAGGGTACCAAAAGTGTGCCCTTTGATTTCCCCACACCATTCTATTTTAACCCGTCCACTCCTGATGGTTTTCTTTTTACCCATGTGTATGAACAACAGTAACTAACATTTATGAATTCTTAAGGTAATGCAATTTGATAAATCCCTCTGTTGATTACTAAAATGGTTTATGCTCTGAATGTCAAGGTGATTGTGTGTTTTCTCTAATAAGCCTCTTTGTCCTGACTGGGGCCTCAAAAGTCAAGGACATGTGGCCTTTAATCAGCCATTTCAACTTTGATAAGCAGCTATGCTGCTTAGCATTCTGTGATTGATTTTTTTTCCACTAAAAAACAAGACAAAACAAAACAAAAAAATACTGCTTGCCTGTCCCATTCTTGAAGGTTATTTGAAGGTGCTGTATAATTCGTCTTTAAAAGAAATAAAAATTCAATCTGTTATCTCTTAAAAGTAACAGAGGTTGCTAAAAAAACCCTCACCTAAATAATGACCCACTTCCTTTAGTCCCTTTTTAACCAATCAGGGTGGATAGCTAATCCGAAGTTTACTTCTCATTAGATGCAAGCCTGTTGTCCCAAAATCATACCTCTGACTTTATCCTTGCCCCTCTGTTCTAACCCCAACACTCTCTTTTTCTTTTATTCATGCCTCGTTTCTTCTACATTATGGGTGTGTTTAGAAAAACCTGAATTTTAAAATGCCTGAAAAATCTAGCAAGTCTAGCACTTGATCCTACATCAGCTTGTAATACTTGAAGATACACTCCTTGCTGCACTCCTTGCAAACTTTGATTTCCACTTCATGGTTAGGTTGTGGCTTGCAGCTAGTTCTTTCTCTGATGCTTTGATAATAGGGTAAAACATGTTCCTTAAGGTCAATACCAAAGACTAATGACAGAAAAGGTCTGAAAGATAAAAGTGCTTGCCTGAAAAGACAAATAAAGGCATCCTTCAATTTATGCATTTACTCTGTAGTTAGACTTCACAAAGTAGAATGAGTGAGTGTTGCTGAAGAAGAATCTGCTGATCATTGAACGTTCTGGCCAGCTAAGTATAACATCACCACCATTTGTGTATGTTAGTTCAGGGAAACTATTTTCCTTCTAATATTCTTCCATGGGAACAAAGGACTTCTTTCACTTTTGGAGAGGGGGAGGAAATGTGTCACTTCTACATTCACTGCTTTGAACTTTGAATTAAGGACGAACAAGGATGAATACACGAACAAATAAAAAGAGTCTTTGCTCCATCAGAAAGGGTAAAACACCTACATTCTTGACTGTGAGTGGTTGACTGTGAGCAATAGAGAACCAGTCTGGTATAGTGGTGAAGGGGCTGGCCTAGAAAACAGGTGGCTGTGAGTTCTAGTCCTGCCTTAAGCAAAAAAAGCCAGCTAGGTGGCTTTGGACCAGTCCCTGTCCACCCAACCCACCTCACATGTTTGTTGTTGTGTGGAAAATAGGAGGCAGAAAAATTAAGTATGTTTGCTTTCTTGAATTACAGATTTTTAAAAAGTAGGATAATAATCTAATTTCCATAAGCAGTTCTATTTCTGTTTAGAAAATAGGTTTTCCTTCCTTCCTTCCTTCCTTCCTTCCTTCCTTCCTTCCTTCCTTCCTTCCTTCCTTCCTTCCTTCCTTTTTCTTTCTTTCTTTCTTTCTTTCTTTCTTTCTTTCTTTCTTTCTTTCTTTCTTTCTTTCTTTCTTTCTTTCTTTCTTTCTTTTAAAAAAGCTCTTCTGAAGTAAAATCTCCTACATCAGGGGTGTAAAGCCTAATTGCATATGATGTATCGGGATTTTCTTTGCCTTCGCTGGGCCGGAGTGGGCGTGGCCCACATGGACTACATCCGGCCCGTGGGCCACGTGTTTGATATGCCTGTCCTACATGATTGTTACAGTGACACATTGTTCATGATTGAAAAGACAATAGTAGATACTGGTATTAATTGTATGGTCAGTTTGATATAGCAATCGCAGTAATTTTTTATTCTGGTAAATCTGAAAAGATACCAACAAACGAGATGATCATTCGTAAGATATTAGAATGCTCAGAAATGTACAAGCTTACTTTAGAAATAAAGGACAAGGAAACAACAGAATTCTACGAGATATGGAATAAATGTTATGTTTGGCTAGAGCAGAGAAATAAAAATGTATGATAATTTATGTAAATAATTGTAAATAATATGTATGAGATATATAACACAGTACTGTTAAGGAAAAATGTATTTTTATTTTTATTTGTTTCTTGTAATGTAAAAAAAGGAAAAATTAATTTATTTATTTTTAATTCTGGTAAATAGATGCTTTATGGCTGGCCATACCAGGTCTTTGGGGGGGGGGGGAAATAAAATTATCAGACAAAAAAAAAAGACAGATCAAACATGGAATGGTGGCTAAAACTTAGCAATGTTCTGGGGATGCAGAGTTGAAAGTACTATGGCTATTACATGTGAAAATGTTTTTGTGAAAGCAGGCTAAGGCAGGGAACGGAGAACAGCTGAGCTGCAACTTCTGTTACAAAATAATTAAATTTGCTTTCTAGGAAAATAGAAGGGAATGTTTCATTTCCAAACTTATAAGTCAGTCCTGCTTTGCCTGATTATCTTTTGGTAATTCTTGTTCACCCTGGCTTATCAGTGAAAATGATTCATTTCAAGTTTAATTTCAACCTTGAAGATAACTAAATTGTCCTCCTTTGTTCCCCCAACCATTTATAGCCCAAGTAGTTTCGTGCCATCTTTCTAAGAGTCTATAAAAAAAACAAATAGTGCATTTTCATTTGTTTCTTCTTTTTCTAGGATTTTATGTATGCATATATTATTTGACAAATATTTAGCTCCAGATGGTTAGCAGATTAACAAATGTAGACAGTTTACATTTATTTGAGGGTGGCTAAAACTGCAGTTTTGATGTACACATTAACTGAATACTTGACTGTTAAAAATACTTCGTTTCATTTCCTTGAAGGGGTTGGTGCACAGTTTTTAATAAAATCTCAAAAAAGTCCTGGCTCAAGCAGACTCAATATGCTTAGGAAATGAAGCATTCAGTGTAGAATTTTTCTGTTTTATTTGTGGCCGTTTGGAGGGTAGCGCCAGAAATATGGCCGTATATCTGGTTTCCTGGTTTCTTTGACACCCATAAGCTTTTCATTTCTCTTCACTTCTCTGCATTTTAATATTCTTAGGAAGATTGGATTCATTTCTGGGTCTGCTTATTTTTATGGATGAACAAAATTGTGTGCAAAATTAAAGCTGTGAAGTTCTTATACCAGCGTTTTTTCAGTTGTAATCTTCTCACTGTTTATACTGCATAGTTATATACATGTACAGTGTATTAAATCAGGCTGTAGAACCAGCTTTTCTTTGGCTGTCTCCACCCCCCCCAACCCACCCCCAGCCCTCACCCATTCAGAGGAGCCCCATCCTATTAGCCCTTCAGTGGGCTGTGAAAACTTGGCATTTCACTCGGTCTTATCTTACATAATATAGGCAGCCATATGGGTTCCTAAATAAATAAATATAAGCATTATTATAAATACAGGAGGAAGGTTGGAATTAAATTGGGTTAAAGTATGAAGCTTTATTAGTCCTCAGTTGGCCTTGTGCTGTAGGATGTCTCTGCAAAAGAATTAAGAGTTTTGTTGGCCCTTTAAAGATGGGTGTCTGGTTATAGTAGTTTGTGCCTCATGACAGGAACAAATACTGTATATCAGGGGTCCCCAACCGTGGCAACGTTAAGACCTGTGGACTTCAACTCACAGAATTCCCCAGCCAGCATGGCTGGCTGGGGAATTCTGGGAGTTAAAGTCCACAGGTCTTAACGTTGCCACGGTTGGGGACCCCTGCTGTATATTACAATTTTAGAAACGACATGTGATTTTATTTTTTATTTTTTTTTAATTTGGCTACCCTTTGCAACTAAGCAAGATGAAAAATAAACTACTATTCCTAATAGGGAGTTCATTTATTTTATATCCTTTTTGTGTCACTCTTTCACACAAGATGATTTATTTATATATTTAAACCATTTATATAGCCACCCATTTTCTAACCAATTCTGGATGGTTCCCAATCAAACATTAAAACAACGTATGGACCTTGGGCTCATGTATTATAAGCATAGGGCCTCTTGGGTAGCTTCAGTGTTGTCTTCAGTTGCTTATGGTCTGTTACAGGGGTCTTCAAACTTGGCCCTTTTATGACTTATGGACTTCAACTCCCAGAATTCCTCAGCCAGCCTGGTCTATTATCTTCCTTATCTCCCATTTGGTATTCTGTCTGCTGTGATAGAATATTCTGAACTCTCTTCATTCCTCTTTTTATAGTAAAATAAAACTTGTATTGTTAATTAAGGTATAACATATTTATGTGATTGATTGTGTTATACCAGATATTTCTTTACTTTTGTAACCACATCCCCGCTTCCTTTGTGCAATCTGTATACTGGGATTCAGTGTCCGTGCATTAATATCCCAACAATGAAAAACAATAAAAACAATTTTCTTCCATCTAGTTCTTTCCAGATCATTGCTTTTTCCTAGCAAGGTGTGGTAGTACACACTCACAATGGTTTTTTTTTTAATTAGAAGAAAGAAGTGAAGATTAGGAATAGGTGTTTTAAAATGTGCCCTGATTTTGATGTTAAAAGGACCTGGTAGTTGAGATTTTTTTATGTATATTTTATTAATTTTTTACAGTAACAATCTTTAGTATTTAATAAGCAATATGTTGTCTGGGTTTATGTGTTTAACATTAATAGTAATACAATTTCCATTCCTACCCTTTATTCCATTTTTCTAACCATTTATAAAAAATTTCGCATGTTTGAAAATATTCCGAATCTTGCTTCCCCTTCATTTTCAATGGGAGCCTATCCATTTCTGCACAGTCCAAAATTTTCTTAATTATCTTCTTCAGATGGTATTTCTTCATTTTCCCAGTATTGAGCAAATATAATTCTCGCTGCTGTTAATATATGTAGTATTAAGTATACACATTTCTTATCATAATTTTCTGAAATTAATGGCAGTTGAGATTTTTGTAACTCATACATGCAAATTACATTTCCTGTGTTCTGTGTAAGACTTAACCGCTATAGCAATCGCCTTAAACACCTCTTATCTAAATAATGGCATGCTCATGTACTTTTTTTTCACTGACATTTTTTGATCTTTTAGCTTCTTTGAATTTTGGTTTAGGTTGTGGCTTCAGAAGACGGTTGAATTCATTTAAAAGAATGTCTGGACTTTTAAACCCAGAATTAGCATTTTGATCCAGCACTTCGTTGTCCTTTTCAGCTTGCTAAAAAGCAGAATTCATGAATAATTTTCAGAAACATGAGCTGTGTTCTCTCATTTTTATAAGCACAGGTTTACTGTACAAGCAGAGTGTCAATGAAAGGAGAACAATGTTTTTGCATTCCTTTTTAAAAAAAATAGAAGACAGCTTATTTTTCCATCACTCATCTCAGCNAGTATATACGGTAAATTGCAATATTTTTTTGTGGGACTGCCTTGTAAAAATTCTTATATACTGTCAATATTAGAAGAAAATAATTTAATACCTGTCAGCCATGTGGGGCACTGACATTACAAATTGTGGAAGTGATTCTCATTTATGAAAAAGGTGGGATACTGAATTGGAAGAAGACCAAGCCGAAATGCTGTTGTGATTTTTTTAATTTATTCATTTAACTGGGAATTAAGCACAACCTACTTAATTTAAGCCAAACTAACCTTGCTGTTTGTCATCTAAAATTAGTTCATAGAGTTGAACCAGGAAACCTATGGACTCCAAATGTTGCTGAACAGTCACAAATAGCTCCAGTTAGCATGACCAATTCCGGAGTGTGGTTAAAAATGCCACTTTGAGCTTCTCAGATAACAGAAAGCATGCAGATGTAACTCAGACAGAAACACTTTTCTTTTTTTTTGAGTTAAAAGCTATGTACTTCTTTCTCCTTGAAGTTCTCATAAAGAGATGATAAGACTGAAATGATTTTCCTAATGTAAGAAAACTTGGAGAGAATATTGTTTGCTTCTTAGAAAATGGGGTTAGAGGTAGTCATGCAAATTACAGAATTGTAAAGAAGAAAATAAACCAGGTTGTAAGCCAAAGCAAACACCAGAAATTAAGCATGTATTATAAAAATTGGCTTCTATTTTGCTTCTTAATTATCCTATTAATTATTCTTTTATTTTTGCAAACTTAACAAATAGCTTCAGGCAAGGTGGTCTTCTACATGTAATTCCTATGACATATCTGGCATACAGTTTTTCCCTTAATGCTTCTTTTGTAGAAACAACCATTTTGGCCATGAAACAGGACAAAATAAATGTCCTAAAATGTAAACCAGATAGAAATCAAACAGTACATTTTGGTGTGTATCATCACATGTTTTCCAAGAAGAGTTTGGATGTGCTCAGCCTAGCCGTGGGGTGGCCTGACTAACGAAACGTGCCTTTCTGAAATTTGTCTCCTGCTACCTTTTAGGTCAGAGTGGCTTGGGAAAATCGACTCTAATCAATACCCTTTTCAAATCCAAGATCAGTCGCAAATCAGTCCAACCAAGTTCTGAAGAGCGTATTCCCAAGACAATTGAAATCAAGTCCATCACACACGGTGAGTGTTGCCAGGAAATTGTCTGCCTGTTTTTTTGTGGAAAGTTAGCAGCCCAGGAAAGAGTCACCTTTTGGTTGACTAGGATAGAAGATCCTTGAAAGGTTCAAATGCTTAACCTTCTTTATGAAGAACATCTTTGATAAACATACACGTAAAGAGGGATTTCCCACAAACTCAATTGCTCTCATCCCAAAGTGATATGTTGCTATTTAATTTCTTCACATTCCATTTCAGATATTGAGGAAAAAGGTGTTCGTATGAAGCTGACTGTCATTGACACTCCAGGATTTGGGGACCACATTAACAATGAGAATTGGTAAGGGACTTTCAGTGGGAAAATGCCTCAGGACAAGGAGACTTGGTACCTTAAAAACTCTAGCTATTCCTATAATGTGGCTTATTTTGTTTTGACTGACCCTGATTGACTGACTGGTGCAAAACCAGTTCAGACCAGACTTTCTCCCACTTCTGGGCTGGAAGCAAAAAGAGAAGAACTTAATCAGGATAAGAATAAGGAAATTATTTTGAGTTGAAGTTAGTACTGTTGATGACTTGACTTTCTGTTTATGTTCTTTGACAAGCAGACCCCCTTAAAGTTAAGAGAGGAATGAAATCTGAAGCTAATTTGCATTTGAAAGAATACATTTCACCTAGGAGGAGGGGAGAATGGAATGGAATTACTCTGCTTTAGATGATAAAGAGCAAAAAGATATGCCAAAATTTATTGAGTTTTCCAAAAGCTAGGAAATTTTCTAAACCAAACTGTACTTCACGGACATGGAGATTTGCAGTTACTTATACATGTTTCCTCATGAGGATTGGCTTAACCAATTAAATTACTCAGAAAAGAACTATGATGGATTTCCTTCTATAATGTGTAGGAAAATGTGATGCCATGGTGCACGACTAGCAGAGGGTCACCTCCATGATTGATATGAATTATACGAGTGGAGGAACAGGACTCTTGAGAATACATTTTGCTGTTTCCTTACTCTTTTGCAAGGGATCATCTGGAATAAGGAATATCAAATGACATCAGCCTTCCAAAGTCAACAAAACAATGGTGGCATGTCTCCAAATACAGCAAATGCAAATTAGCTTCAGATTTCATTCCTCTCTTAACTTTAATGGGGCCTGTCTGTCAAAGAGCATAAATAGAAATTCAGGGGAGAGAGGAAGGCTCTATATTTCTGTGGTAAAGAGACCCTGATACTGAACACTGCATGCTCAGGAAACTACCTTTATTTGACTGTATATGTATTTACTTTTTTACAGGACTTATATGGCCATCTATCTCATATCATGATTCTAGGCAGCTCAGAACAATCCATAAAAACCTAGCTAAAAGCAGAAGTACCTCTCCCCTCCCCCAGGTGTAAGAACAACAGCTTCCCAGCTCAACCTCCATCCTATCCCAATGTTCAAGGGAAGAGTCAGGACTTTATGGCCCTCTGGAAGCTAAAAGCATAGGGATCCCTTGGATGTCAGGTTTGGGGTCCAAAGAGCTGTGGTTGCCACCATGAAGGCACACCTTCAATGTTTCATCAAATGATAACATTAAGGGTGGGGACCTGGACTGTATCTATCCCAACTTTTCATAGGAAGCACTTGAGAAATTCTGTTTAGCAGCACTGGGTGACTGTGGTGTGCCTCTACCAGCAAGCAATGAACTGCTATGTCTCCTGAAAAAGTCCAAAATGGAAATGTTAGCCTGCCTAGCAATTCTGTCAAAATGAAGTGTAATGATTTCTTATTGCTCATAATAGTATACTTAAAGCAGGCTATGAGTTGATTCTGTGATTCTTTGCCCGTGCACTTTTTCCTGTAAAGTGTTAATAATTGGCCAACAGTTTCTCCTTTTATTAAACTCAGTATGCTTAAGAGAAAGCCTTAAGAGAAAAATCTATGTGGTCGCTAGGAGTCGAAAACAACTTGATAGCAATCAATCAGGGTTTAAAAGCTTGAGAAAGTGAATGAACTGATTTTTTTTAAAGGGAATCTCTGCATAGAGACATTTGCCTCTAATACGTTATATTTCTTTCCTTGCACAGTTGGCAACCCATTATGAAGTTCATCAACGATCAATATGAAAAGTATCTCCAGGAAGAGCTAAATATTAATCGGAAGAAGCAGATCCCTGATAGCAGAGTTCACTGCTGTATATATTTCATCCCTGCCACTGGCCACTCGTACGTATACAGCTTCCAAACTACAGCCTCTGGTTTTCTGAAGGCAAACTCAATGGCACAGAGGGCCACCTCTCTCTGGAACCAGACATCCAAGAAAATATGTGCTCCTTCAGTCCCTGCCTTCAAATAAGCCTTACATCATTGCTAGCCCTGTTTTCCTTCCCCCTTGCAAGTTACACAAACACACCTTTTCAGTTGCAGCTGGACATAGGTGCTGATTCACAGCTTGTCTGGCAAGGAGACCTATCCTGCCTTGAGAACCAACATACTTCCACGTATCAGCTCTTCCCCTCTATAGCCATTGAAACATTAGACTGCCTGGGAGAGGCTTTCTAATTGCGCCCCACAGTTTCCCTCTCACCCTGCTGCTTGCGTTGTAAGCGGTGCCTAAAAGTCTGCCTAGTGTATTCCTCTTTTCCCAGAAACATGTGTTTCCAATATAAGGCTAGGGTTTTGAAGCTATGAGACACATCGTTTCTGACTTTCATGTAGTTTGATATCCCTGCTGGAGGTTAGGCCTAGGTGTTCTTTGGGCCTCTGCCCCAGACAGTTCATTCTAGGGCTTTGCTTTCCTATCCCATGTCAAAAAAAAAAGACATGTGGATTGAGGGGAGGGGGCGTTTGGCAAGAGTTAGCAAGTTTATGGGAAGAGTCGAGTTGCAGTTTGCAAGCAGGTTGTAAAGAATATGGAAAGAGTCAGGAAACAAATATGGACATCCCTAGTCTCTCATTGTTCCCCCCCCCCCAAAAAAAACCCCACTTTCTCTTTTTCTGCATCCTTTTAAACTTTTCCATAATTGCTCCTGGTAGTTACGGGTACGCTGTGAGTCTTTCTGGTTTATGATACCGTACTGAGGGTTGTATGGCTTTTGAGAAAACTTTCAAGTTTAACTATGCACCTTATATGCTCGTGTATGAGCCCATCTGCAGATAAATACACTGACCCCGTATTAACCAAAATACCACAAAAAATGAACCATCCACAAGTAAGCCAATCCATGGATATTTTTTGGGGGAGGGGGGGTGTTAATTTTCAGTCAGCTTATATGTGGATGGCACATTTTTTTTGGGTGGCATTTTGGTTATTTATTTTTTTTTAAAAAAAATCTGCTTATCCATGTGCATATGCAGAATATGTGGATACTTTCCAAAACATATTACTTGTGGGTAAGCCTATCCGTGGATAAGCTGAACCCAGTTTTCTGGGTGTATTTTGGCACCTTATAGTCTATGAGTATATAGAATATATGACAAGTGTGCACACACCCGTTTCCACTCTCAGTTGGTTTGGCAGCGACTGCCACTCAGTGTAATTTTCTGTTCTTGTGCATCAGGGAGGAGGATACAGAGGAAAGCTGAGTCTACTCTTTGTTCTACTTTCCTTTAAAGCAGTGTTTCTCAACCTTGACCATTTTAAGGCATGTGGACTTCAACTCCCAGAATTCCACAGCCAGCATTGCTGGCTGTGGAATTCTGGGAGTTGAAGTCCACATGCCTTAAAATGGTCAAGGTTGAGAAACACTGCTTTAAAGCTTTATTTCCCCACCTCCATCAGAGCTGCATCCAAGACCCTTTAAGTACACAAGGAAGTACCCTGCTTGCATGTGCTCTACTGCATGCAAAGAGTCCTTGACTTGCAACCATTCGTTTTGTGACAGTTTGAAGTTACGACAACACTGAAAGAAGTGTCTTACACCTGGCTCTTACACTTAGCGGTTGTCACAGCATCCCCACGCTCGTGTGATCAAAATTCAGGCCCTTGCATGGCAGGGATTTATGCTGGCTGCAGTGTCCCAGGTCACTTGATCACCATTTGCAACTTTACCAGCCAGCTCCCAAGAAGAAGAGTCATTGAGGGAATGACTGGATGACTGGATTCACTCAGTGACCACATGCTTCCCTTAACAACCGTTGCCATTCACTTAATAGCTATGGGGGAAAAAGATAATAAAATGGGCCGTGATTCATTTAACCCAATTGTGGTCGTAAATTGAAGACTATCCATAGTGAAATTTATTGGGTGAAGTTTCAAGTGCCATAATTTAGGGAATATCAGCCCTTTGAGATTGGCTAGGCCAAGAAACACACTGCGGGATTCCAAGAATGCTACATTATTGTTGCAGGATATATCAAATGAATCTTGAAAGCAGGTGCATAATCTTCACTGCCCCTTTTTTAAAGAGAACAGGGTCAAGGTGGGATTATTCTGAGCACTTTTCCAGCCTTTCAACTTTCCCAGAGCTGAGCAATCATTCATCTCATTTTATTCTTGAGGTTAGGGCAAAATTCTTTCCCCCACTTGTATATTCCTTCACCTGTCCCTCGAATGTATTCTTCCACATTAAAATGAGGGATAAAGGTCCATTTGCAGGCATTTCCACTAAATCTTAGTAGGGAGAGTATAGTCCCCCAAATTATACTCTCTACGTATACTAAAGAGGGCAGTATACTCTTGTCAAAGACTGAATTTTTCTTGATTCTTCCCTTGATATATGTTTGTTTATTTGGTATACTCAGGTCTATGCCATACATCCTAACACAATTGAATTTGTTTTGGGGATGGTTCTCTGTTTAGATGATACTTAATCTTAAGATGACTAGACTTTCAATTAGCGTATATTTATATCAGAGAAATGGGATGCCTTATACATTATAGCAAAAAGTTTGTTGTCACTAACAAACATTTCAGTTCATTGAGTTACAGAGAGAAACATGTTGATTTATGAACAGGAATTTCTTTTCTTATTCCTAAGGGTTTAACATGATTCTCCCTTAGAAGGTTTCTACAAGAGGTAACATTTATGAGGAGTATAACATGCATGCCTGCTTATCGTGCTGTTGCCTTTCCAGATAAACAATGTCATAGAAAGTGCATAAAATCACACTTTTCTTATTCTTTGTTCAAAGTTCAACCATTAACACAACATTTCACTTATTCTCACATGTACAGTACTGTACTGTTCCTGTACTCAGTAACCAAACTTCAATTTTATATTCATACAGTATATTCATGCAATATACAACAGTGTTCCGTGCGCCTGGCGTATACTCACACTGGCCACATGACCACTGAAATGTCGGCTAATAAACAGAGATGAGCACCGCCCCCTAGGGTCAGACAGGAGACAGGGGAAACCTTTATAATGTATTCCATAATTCAAGCCTATCACAAACTTTCTCTAAGCCACTAAATATGTTGTAAACATAATTCTACACATACATAGATTTCTGATGACTTGTTAAAGAGCCACAATTCAGCACTTTCCTTGTCTAACATAAAGGCAGACTTTTTGATCAAAATTCAGTGAGAATTCTGCCACATGGCTTTCCTAGGCATGCTTAAGAAACTAATCCTCCTATAGTTTTTGTATTTACTCTTATTACCTTAAACAATAACGTTTTTTCCACTCATTGGGCATGCATGCACTTTTCATGCACGCTTTATACAAGCCACGGAACCACTTCACTACGTCCATCAGCTAACGGTTCTCTAGTTGCATCATCGTCAACAGCTGCTACTGTAACATTTTTCAGTACATAGTTTCTAGGACTTCCCCCTTCATCACTCTGTTTGTGGTCACAAATGTTTATGGCATTCATTTCTTCAAGATACCACTATATTTTAGAGATATATTGTAGATCTCTAAAATATAATTTCTGACATTTTTTAAAAATTCAGCTTCGCCTTAAATGATTCCATTGCTTTAATTGTTATTGTCATTCAGAGTTTTTGTTTAGCCCTCTTCGTCCACTTTCAGCATTTTGTTTAAAATCCATTAAAATTGCTCTGCATTTTTTGTGCCTTTTTCAAACTTAACTCTTCCTTGGAAACTTTATTTATATTCTTTGCAGCCCTTTTTAGATCTCCATACACATTTATCTTTCTCTTGAGGTTTTTTTATTCTCTTGCATTCACTTTTTCTGATGCACAATCACTTTCAGTTTATCATTCCACTAAATCTCCTTTCTCATATTTAATTTTATTCCACAAACTTATGCATCCTTTTTCCTTTTACCCACTTTGTATCTATTCTATTGAGAATGCAATTTTTTTGTTCACTTCTCCTTTTAAAAATTCATTCAAGTCATACAGATGCTCCTCTAGCACAACACATTTTTTCTACCCAAATTTTCCCTTTGAAACTACTTAAATGTGGTCTTTTTCAGATTCAAGCCCTCTCATCTCCCTTGTCATCATTAATTCTAATAAACTATCAAATACATGATGTTTTTACATTTATATTCATTTCATTTACATATATACTCATTAATAGACTTATGAATAAGCAAAGGTATTTAGAACAAAGAGACCTATTTTTAAGTAATCACTCAGTTTAATATTATTATTCATTCTTGAGTCTCTGAATGGCCCAATCAGCTTTTCTATATTTGCTCATTGCATTCCCATTCATCCATCCCTATTATATAGGAAAATAACACCTTTTTTCTGGATCATGTTTATTCAGTATACTGTGCAATTTTTTCTCAGATTAACCCCTGATTCTTTTATTACCACCTTTCATTGGGGTTAAGATACTGATTTAGGGAGTTGTACTTATACACATCCAAATGCATCAGCTCATATATGTTAAACTTTTCATTCATAATTAAACCTGTATCTTCACTTTCTTTTCTGCATTCATCAACACCACTCTACAAGATCAGAACATTCAGATATATTACATATTTCACCTTATTTTACCAACTTACAGCTTTTTTTGTTTTCATTTCATTATACTGATTTAAACTTTTTAGCATCTATTCCTCTTATATTTAAACTAGGGGTCTTCCATAGGCCATTACAATCTCCAAAAGGGTCCATAAATACTGACTTGTTCTGGTGCCCATTGTGACTTTGGTCAATTGAGGCTTTCTCATAATGCTTTTACTAACAAAGAGGAGGTGTAACCTGGATACTAGCCTTGATTTTACCATACTATATATAGCATTGCCTGCTAACCATAAAGACAGCTGAGCACATTTGGGCCAGTATGCCCTATGCACAAAAAGCCCAGGTTTTATGTCAAGTTAACACTATTTTAAGTTTCTATCTACAGCATTTGGGTTTACTCTACTATGATTAATATAAATTAAACTTATTTTTTCTTTGGGATGAGGCGGCTAGCTTGTAGTGCAGTATTTGAATTTGGATTATATTTTCTCTTTCACACACCACACACACACACACTTTCTCTTTCAACAGTCATATATTTATTACATATCAATCTAGGTGAGAACAGAAAAGTTCCAAATGAAACTTTTGAATCCTTTGCTCCAGCCTTTATGCCAGAGGCATTGTCCCATCTCATTAGAGCCCTCCTTTGATGGATTACTATCTTCCTTCTTTTTTCAAAACTGGCTAGAGGTGTTACTAAAAAGGGGTTTTTTTTCTATTTCTTCCTCTTTCTACAGAAGGTTGTAGTGCAAAATACAGAGATCCAAGAGCATGCTGACTGTGCACCAGCTTTTTTATGGGACAGCACAACCACATATACTGTGGTTGGTATTGTCCCAGAATCACAACCCCTATCCACTCCATTTTTTAAGGATTGTTTCATCTATGTCGCTATAGTCAGACCATTAAAAGCCTCTAGGTACTGGAACAAGACCTCCACTGCAACTTCCACATAGACTGTACTAGAGATTTATAACAGTATCATCTGCATATTGATGGGTGACTTCCCCCAAAAGTTTCCTTATTTACTGCATAAAGATGGGGAAAAGAATCAAGCCTGAGACATCTCATAGTGAAGTGCTCAAAGGCTTGGCCTCTCCTCTCTCCCATACACACTGATTGGACCCACACACTTAGTCAATGAACTGCTCAAAAGGTGCTTTTCAATTCGTAGGCCTCATTGCTAATTTGAAAAGTTACCATAGTTAATAGCATTGAAGGCTGGAATATGCATCTTTTATCTAAGATCTACCATGTATTATCAGCAAGAGCAGTTTGCATCCCGTGCTTGAATCCATTTCTTCCAGAGTCCTTTGCAGTTGATGGTCCATCACCCTATCAATAACCTTTCCCTCAAAAGGGAAGTTAGATATTGGGTGGTATTGGTTCACTATAGCTGGATCCGAAGTCAGTTCCTTAAAGAATATTGCACCAAAGCCTTTTTCAAGTATATTGACATCTCCACCCTCCCATAATAAGGTTTTATAACCACCCGAACCCAAGTTTCCTATCCTCTCCCTGGCAATGTAGGGATCAAGCCTACATGAGGCAGAGCTCATCTCCCAAAGGATTCTATTTGCTTCCTTGGGATTAAAGTTTTCCCATCAAACATTGCTAGATGTTACACTTAGCACTTCTGTTTCTGGGTTTCCAACTTGGAATGAATACAAGTAATTTTGCCAGAAACTCATCCCAACTCCTGTTCTAGGTCAGGAACAAGCAAGTGATCTGTGTAGTTGAACTGAAGATCTAAATGTCCATGAACGTAATCTAAATTCATTATACTGATGGAATCTTATTTCACTGGTCACTGCCATTCGTTAGCATCCTGGCATCCCCACGCAGATTTCTCTTTTGACCCAGCAAGGACTAGAAAGCTGCTTATTGGCAAGAGATGAAACACTGCCACTGTTTACTTTGTGGAATTCCATGCTTTGGGAGAGTCTTTTGCAGCCATTTCTTCTTCTGCTGCTGCTGCTTCATGACTTTTCTTGGATGTCTGTGTTTCATATTTGCATATGCATGTGCCGATAACTGACGAAAATGAGAAGCAATGTAGTTTCTGTCACCATAACTTTGTCATGGAGGTTAGGTGCCGATTTCTCCAGCTGGAAGACAACTTGGGTTGTGCCTCAATATATATGGTTTTTGATTTAAAAAAAAGATAAATGGAAACAACCATTTTAAAATAACTCACATAGACTGTGTGAATCCATCTGACCCATTTGCTTTGTCCTTTTATTGTATACACTATGAATGTATGAACTTCTAGTTTAGGGTGAACATAGTAATGCAGTATCCCAGGGGTCCTCAAACTTGGCCACTTTAAGACTTGTGGACTTCAACTCCCAGCATTCCCCAGCCAGCATGGCTGGCTGGGAAATTCTGGGAGTTGAAGTCCACAAGTCTTAAAGTGGTCAGGTTTGAGGATCCCTGCAGTATCCAATCTAGGTCGGTCATCGGCACCAGAGTTTTAGTCTTCCAAGCTTTCAGACTCATGTTGAAGCCCATCTTCAGGGAACTTCTCTCTAGTAGAGTGTCATAGAGTGCGTTATATGACACTCTGCTAGAGAGAAGTTCCCTGAAGATGGGCTTCAACATGAGTCTGAAAGCTTGGAAGACTAAAACTCTGGTCCCGGTGACCGGCTCAGATTGAATCCTGCAACATTATCTTGGGACACGTATATTCGTCTTCATTCGTGAATGTAGTAAGTTAACATGGGAAGAAACGAAGGCTGCAGTTGCTAAGGCAGGACTCCAGCATGTTCTTAAAGAGCCAGCGATCAGCATTTTGTGGCCCAAGAGAGTGCATCTTAATATATATATTTCTAGCTATCACTGTGATTAATGCTGAAATCAATAAGGATGCCCACAGCTTTCTTTATAGATCACAGCAGTTGGGCTGGAAGCTCTGTCATAGATAGCAGAATGCAAATAGGAGTTTCCTAATATTTTTAGTTATTTATTTTACTGGGGAGATTTACAACCCACCTTCCAGAACATGGTTCTCAGGGGAGAAAGCAATTGTTATAATACAAAGTACCTGAAAAACCACTTGGCAGAATATGTGCTACTGGGTTAATTAAAGCCAAATACAGCTAGGTTGGAACTTTAAGCCTCTCAAAGCTTTTAAAAGCATTCTTTGCAAGAGGTATGTGATTTGGTGTACTTCCATGAGAAATTGGCTCCATCTTTCTCTGTCTGCAATAGGATGGACTGAAGTCAGAATATATAATAATTTAGATTGTTTTTAATCCTTCCTATTATTTTTATAAATTACTCCAGACAGCAAACATACTCCTCTTTTCCCCACCACCACAACCCTATGAGCTGAGAATGTTTGGCCCAAATTTACCCAACTGGCTTTCATGTTTAAGTTGGGACTAGAACTCACAGTCTCCAGATTTCAAGCCTGGCATCTTAATCACTAGACCAAAGTGCTCCCCACCCCACTCCCCAGCTGCTTCTCTGGAGTATACTGTTTTTCCAACCTCACTGCCTTCCCTGCTTCCCCTTGTATAAAATGTATCCTAATAGCAATAGCACTTAGACTTATATATCGCTTCACAGTGCTTTACAGCCCTCTAAGCGGTTTACAGAATCAGCCTATTGCCCCCAACTGAGACCTCATTTTACCTACCTCAGAAGGATGGAAGGGTGAGTCAACCTTGAGCCGGTGAGGATCGAACTGCTGGCAGTAGGCAGAGTTAGCCTGCAATACTGCATTCTAACCACTGTGCCATCATAGCTCCAATCTAGCCTAGTAGAACATAACTTAATAGCCTCATGGTCAAGTACAGGGGTAGGCAACCTTGGCTCTTTTATGACTCGTGGACTTCAACTCCCAGAATTCTTAAGCCAGCCATGCTGAGGGGAAAGGGAGAGGTTTCCAAGCTGAGCCATGCTGGCTCAGGAATTCTGGGAGTTGAAGTCCACGAGTCATAAAAGAGCCAAGGTTGCCTACCCCTGGTCTAGTAGAACACAGCAACCTCCCTTGGCCAAGATTACCTGGTCAGTTGAAGTTTAGCCTTGAAGACTAAAAAAAAAAACCCAAAACAAATAAACCCCAACCCAAACAAGAAAGAAAAACAAATGCAGGAATGGGGGAGCAGCTAAGTGAAATGTATATGTTGTTCTTTTTTATGAGGGAAAAAGAAATGTGGGATTTAGATCTGCCATCCACCAGAAGACCAGCCCATTGTTTTGAAGAAAATAGCATAAGCCTTCTAGCCAGAAGTTAAGCTCTCATTTCACTAGGCCTAGATTACTGCAAACTAAGGATTGGCTTGGGTTTGCCAGTTTTCCATATTTTATTCAACCATAAGTGTTATATCCAATTCCACATACATTTGCACATATTAAAAACATTTTTTAAAAATTCCTTTTGCATGCAATTGTGTGCATTTCTGTATCTGATTTTTGGGCAGGGAACCACACTATAAAAGTCACAACACAGACCAAAGAAGAATGGTCTGCCTTCTATTTTTGCTGGTATTTATACAATGTAAGCTTTGCATACATTTTTGTGTTTTGAAATATTCACAGAGTACAGATGTGACCTGGGTTTCAAGGGGACGTAGCTAAAGTAAAATTGTATTTTTTTTTTTATTCTAAAGAGTTGAGGGCAGCATTCAAGGACTCACTGTTTGATTTGACTTGTTAAATTGCTGCAATGAGTTAGGCTGAGAGAGTTAGCAATATATCGCTCTGGCTTCTGATGTAGACAACTTTAAAATGGGATTGAAGACATTTACCAAATACATTGCTGCCAGGATAATTTTTTAATCAAGATACAAGTGTTTCAGTGTCCTAGGCAGCTTGCCCAGGATATCAATTCTTGACAAACATGGACTACTGCTCTCACACTGGTTGTGGGTTTTCCTTAGGCATCTCCATGACTTTGTGAGACCTTGTGGTCTGACTGTATACATTGAATGGATGGATCAGAAACGTGAATGGCTGTGTTGACATTCAAACCTGCTTGTTGACTTTTCACCCTCCCCCCCCCCTTTTTTTTTTTTTTTGAAGTGTCCTAGGGCAAGGGAGCCATTTCCTTCTGACATTTCTGTGCTCCTGGGGCTAGAAGGATTCTGCTTTCCTGGTCTCATTTAAGAAATCTCTTCTCTATCTTGTTTTCAGCCTCCGGCCGCTTGACATTGAATTCATGAGACGCTTGAGCAAAGTAGTTAACATTGTGCCTGTCATCGCCAAAGCAGACACATTAACCCTGGAGGAGAGGGACGCCTTCAAGCAAAGGGTAAGCAGGATGGGATGGGACAGGACAGGGCCCTTCCTGGGTTTTTTCTAAGTCTCTTTTTTTTTCTCCTACGCTATCCTGTGGACCCAGCACAGTCCTTGGGGCCACAGTTTGGAGCAATCTAATCTGATAAGAGGAAAAGCCTTGATCAGTACCCAGGCACTGTATGTGTTTCTCTGTCTTCAGGGTGGGGAAATAGACTCAGTGGACCCTTCCAGTTTGCACATCTTGCTGCAGGTGGATTTTAAAAACAGACTTGCTCTGAAAAGACAAACTGACTATGTGTGACTCAGTAGCTTTTCTCATTGCTTAACTGTACCACCCACATGCCTGGCCCTATTTGAAAGGATATATATCTCTGCTCTCATCCCGCTGATGTTAACCAGCCTGTCTGTCTTCATTCGCTTTGTTTTGACCCTGCCATTAATGGCTCTGCTGTTTAGTGCTGTTAAAGGGCTTCTTATTTGTTTAATTGTTGCATTTTTCCTATGAACGTGGAAAAAAAAGATGGCCGCTGGCTTCTGCCACAGATGCCAAAAATAGCTTGGCTAGTTTTCAGTATTTTGTCTCTTGACTTGACAGCCTAAAGGAAGTTATTCTCATTTTGGACCAGCCTACAGATGAAATACATTTTGTCTTCTTGCAGGAGAAAGTTGAGTCTTTGGGCCAGTTTCCCAACACTGATGTTTTTGAGCGGGTGGCTTAAAAGCCATAGTGTATTATCATCTTAGTGCACAAGGACTGTCTGAAGCTGCTTTAAACAACCTAAATCCAAGAGACATACCGAGATCCCCATCACTATTGGGTGTTTCATTCCAGTGTTTAGGTAACTGTATTCACATATGATAATGGTTGACTGGTTGGTGTCTTTACTCCAATCTGTATCCCTTTCTTGGATGGCAGTGAATTCAGACATCCCAGGCTATTCAAACATTATTTAAATTTACTTTCTTAAATTCAGCAAAGTTGCCTTAGTCCATACTTTGCACGTTCACTGTGAGTGATAAGAAAGTGACCAAATATGTATAGCTCATTCAATAAAAGCCTTTTACTGCTATATCTGTCTAATCATTGTCTTATTATGTTCACTGTTTTGTTTTTTGTTCTTAGATTACAGCAGATCTCCTTGCTAATGGCATAGATGTATATCCCCAGAAACAGTTTGATGAGGATTCTGAAGACCGATTAATAAATGAAAAATTTAGAGTAAGTGTGTAGATCTCTTTTATTACACATTTTGTTTGTGTTCAGAGATTTACAGCAGACTTTCAGGCTCCAAGAATTCTTCTCAATGATTTTAACTATTTCAGTCTATTAAATTTCTGAATCACTCTTAAAAATCTGCAAGTTAGTTTATTTCCTTAAGTTTGATGTAAAGCTGATGTTGATTTAAGGAATTGTTCAGTTAGGGATGCATTGAAAAACACTAAAATGAGCATCAGGGAAGTTCTTAGAACAGATGTTCACAATTTTTGTTGAGAGGATGACAACCTTCCAAAGCAGACCAGATTAGCAAATCAATGCCATGTAGATGAGTACTACTTATATTGTAAAGCTATAATGTGTTTTCCCTCTCTCTCCCTCCCTCCTTTCTTTTATCTTTGGGTGATCTAGGGAGGGATTTTTCTAAGAGGTTTACTCACATAATATTCTTGGCCTGGCTTCAGATCCCTTTTCTCTGACTGTTGCCTTGGTAGCAGTGATTCTTCTTCCTGTCCTTCATGGTTATTCCCTCTGCCCTCTACATTGGGGGACCATCTAAGTTTCTTTTTATTGGTTTATTTATTTACATGACTATGGGGCTGCCCCGAGCAGCTGACTCTGAGTGGTGTACAACTTCCCAAAATGTAATTGGGATTAAACCATACAAATAATATCAAATTAAAAACAACACGTAACTTTAAATTAGGAAGTAGATGGTGAACCACTGCAGGTGAAAGAAGACTCATTAATTTATCCACAGTGCCCGGTTCTGATTAGCAGTCTTGATACCATATTGTTAATCCTTGGAAAATAAGAGGTTTTTCTCTGAAAGTCTAGAATTTACCATTCTTCATCAATACTTCACACAAAAAAAACATAGTTTCTTGAAACAAAACCGCCTTATATTTAATTTGACTCTTACTTTCTTTTATCTGGGCTTTTGTTAATCCTAAAATGTAGAACAACTCTGGTAGAAGGACTAGACCAAATCTAAGACATTTCAGAAATAAAGTAGGGGACAGATATAAAGACATTTGTTTTAATTGTTTAATAGATGCATTGTTTAATGGAATGAAAAAATTGCCAGATTGTTTCACCTTCCATTCTGACCCAAACATTTCACTGTAGGAAATGATTCCATTTGCTGTGGTGGGCAGTGACCAAGAATACCAGATTAATGGAAGACGAATTCTGGGAAGGAAAACAAAATGGGGCACGATCGAAGGTAAGATTTCCTGTTTGTTGTTTTCTTGCCATTATTGTGATTTTTAATTTGCTAAAGTAACATCTTGAATGTGCAAAGATGGCAGTGTGTGTTTGTGTGTGTGAGAGAGAGAGAGAGAAAGAGAGAGAGTATCCCTTTTTACAAGACTGTGTGCTCTGCTGCCCTCTGCTGGGAAGAATAAGAATCGTGTTTTGTGGGTTAGGTTGTTCAGTGATTGCTTGAAAAGGGATTAAGAATTGCTAGAGTAAGAGAAAACAGCTTTGATTTGTTGCTTCATCAGAAAGCTCCAGTACCTCACGTTTCATTCTATATCTCCACCCAAATTCTCAGCCTTTAGAAGTTGAAGAAATACAAGATGCAAAAGGGAGATTTCCAGAATCCCAACCTGGTCCAAAACTGTTGAAGGAAAAAGATAGTTATGGGTTATAACTTGATCAACATATGTTAACTGCAAGTGGCAATCTTTCTGGATGTATACAAACAATTATATCCACTCTCTTGTTGTTACTTAGCTAAATCTTAGCAATTTAAAACCAAGTTATAATATAAATTGCTGCATTCAGGGGACAACACAATTATGCTGTGAAAGACTCTATAAATACTGCTTTAAAGAGCAAGCAGAATAGCAAGTATAATTATTAAAAGAACAGAGATGCCCTTTCTTCCAATCCTTTCTCCCTTCTTTCTTCTCTCTCCCTCGTTACATTTTATGTGAAAACTTGCCATACCTTACTGTCCCTGAGCTTAAGCACATGCAACACTCAACAACCCCAGATTCATTCTTCCATTCCCTCCCTTCCCTCTGTTTCCCTTCTGCTGAATTTTAAATTGCTAACTTTTTCTGGCATGGACCTCTCCTTCTCTATGGCGAAGCACCATGCGGACTATTAGCCATGCATAAGTAGGATTTAATTCATGCCCTGTGGAGATTTTAATGTATTAAAACTGGCAGCTGTGGAACCAAATGAGTTGAAGGAGATGTTTCGGAGTAGCATCCCTTGCCTCTTGCTCTCTCATTATTACAGTTATTCCATTCTTTGTAGCAGCTAATACAAACAAAGCTGGAATCTCACTTCACTGAGANTAAAGCAAAGGAGACAAAGAGAGCTTTAGCCTATTTCTTTTTCTTTTCTTTTTTTTGTACTATGTGTTTTATTACTTTCTTGAAACTGGATTGTGATTCTGTTGTGACATTGTGCCCTCTGTACGGTAAAAAGATACATGGGTAGTCACCAATTACTTAGCAACCATTCAACGTTCCAATGGACCTACCTAGGTGGTACTTAGGACCCAGATTTGAAGTTCCAATTATCAGAGCCCTCCCACACAGCCACGTGACTGCATTTCAGGTGCTCAGCAAGCGGGCTGCATTTAAGCCACCCTAGTGCATGCTGTGGTCACGTGACTGCATCTTATGAGCATTTTGCCCCAAGTCAGCATTTATTTCCATTTTTCAGCAAACGAATCGATTTGCTTAACAACCTGTGCAAAAAAGGTTGTTAAAAAATCAGGTTGGTAACATGAGTGGATCCATTTTATGACCACCACCACGAGTTACGACTATGATGGGCAGGCTCCATTAACAGTTGTAACTCGAGGAATAGCTATGTTTTAATTCTCACTGAATCTTTGAGATCATAATCTACCATCTCCCTTGAAACGGTTTTGAGAGTACAGGATTGCAGAAGCATGTTTGCTAAACATATCTAAGCCTGTGTAGGTGATCAGGAATGGCAGAGGCTTTTCCATCAGTTGCTGTAGATACTGTTGGCATTTCTATGTCAGTATATATTGCTTCTGCTGCAAAGTGTGGATGTTTATTTTTAAAATCCTGTGAAGGAGCCCCAAGTGTTAAAAGTTAAACTGCAAAAAAGGATTTATTTGCGTCAGAGGACTGGAATGGACAAGCAACCTGGCACTGAAATAAAGTACTTTTTCTTGAAAGGGGGGGGAGGGAAAGGAAAGTTATTTTAAGCCTTCTGCTTCCACCCTGTGGCCAGTTCTTGTACCTCGTGTAAATTGTGAGGGTGTTGGAAGGCCAAAGTTTGTGTGATAAAGTGATTTTGGAAACATGTCATCCAGAGGAATAGTGAGAGGTACAGTCAATTGTAAGACAATATAATTGGACACTATCGAAGAAATCCTTCCAGCTGTTCTAGCCTATTAGAATTAGGGAACTGCATTATGCTTAGAGCTGCATATTCTTTATGAACTGAATGGCATTTTGAACCCTGCCTTGCTCTGGAATTCAGCAGGTATGAGTTTATGCTAATTGTTTGTTCCATTTTCTGCCTTGACAGTTGAGAATACAACACACTGCGAGTTTGCTTACTTGAGAGATCTCCTGATCAGGTTGGTGTTAATTTCCAAAGAGGCAATTTGGATGCTTCGAAGGCAATTTACTTTTCAGACTGGGATTATGAGGGAGGTTGCACCATTCTATAGATCTCATCATCAGGGACCCTCCAGTCTGATTTTGTTCCTACTATTGTTGGAGATGGTGCATGTAACTCAAGATACTGAAGTGGGATTTGGCTTTGCATGCATGGTCTGCCTGTTTTTGTTTCTCATCCATGGCTTAAGGCCTGCTACCCAGTAGTTTATTCAATAAACCTTGCTTAAACCATGATTTAATATAGTGTGTGGACAAATCAAAATTTGCAAAAGTATCAGATTTATTGCAATCTTGCCAATGTTAAGAAACAGCAAAATTTACCACATCTAATCTTCCTATCTCCTGAAAATGGCAAGATTCAAACTTGGATATGGTAAAATGCTGTGCTATTGTATTATAGAACTTCTTTTACATTCTAGTATAAAACTGCTGTTAGTTTTACCTCCAACTTTGGACCTGAAGATCCCTCTCTTCTTTTGCTTTATTTTAAAAATATTTTCTTCTCTTTTTCCTAGGACACACATGCAGAACATCAAAGACATTACTAGCAGCATCCATTTTGAAGCCTACAGAGTTAAGCGTTTAAATGAAAGCCAGAATGCACTCTCCAATGGTGTGGTTGACAAGGAAGAACTGGTGGCCAATGAAATGTAATGCTCTGTAGTTGCCCCTCTCCCTTCCCTGTCCCACCCCACTTCCTTTAAAACATGATCCTATAAACCCTTTGCTGGTGCCATTGTCCTTTTCTCCTCTTTGCCAATGGTATCCAGGCTGCTGATGTTAATTGACCAAATAACAGTGCTTTCCATAACAAACATCGTATCTTGCTCTTTTCCAGCCTCTGTGATGTGAAACATCTCTCCTGTCCTTCCTTGTAGGGTATAGTAATCAATTGTTATAGGGACAGCAGATTCAGGATAAACTTTCAACAGGTGGGGCTTTTCTTGAGTTTTGATAGTATGGTGACCACTTTAGAGTAGGTTCTTGACCAGGACTGGTCCATGTTCCTTTCTTGCAGCTAAGGAAGAGATTCCCAAACAATTATAGTAATTTGAGTTTCCTGAAACTGAGATGAGCAATGATTTTCTTTTTCTGTTAATCAGGAATCGAGAGGTCTTTTTCATAGATTCCTGTGCTATTGTTTAAACCAAGTATCGCTGGCCCAATTATTTGAAGTGATTGCTAGTATTGTCCCAGTCTAGTAAATATGAAGCATAGCTATGTTAATAAGAAAAGAAGGTGCTATGCATTTCTTACTGTCTCCATGCAGCTGTATTCCCAATTAAGCAATGGCATATCAGAACAATGTTGAAAGAGCAAAATCAGATCTGGACAGGGCAGCTTTCTTTAAACTGGATGAATGTGCCACAGGATCTTCTTCTTATTCACTATGAGTAGAACATAATTAAAAAAAAGTCTATTTCTGCTTTTTCTGCTTCAATGCCTCGTATCCATACAGATCTTTGCAAGCCACTTGGTTTATCTAGTGCCAAAGTTTATTGTTTTCTAAACCTTGGAAAGAACAGAGAGTTTTTTCTGTTTTATTTCCAGTATGGGTGGGTTGGGTTTTTTTTTCTTTTTTTTCTTTTGCTTTATGTATCTAACTCCATCCATTTCAGATGAAGTTTGTTATGACTAGATACATTTTCAAAGACGTGGTAGAGTGATAGAAAGATGTATGATGGTTGCATGGCACAATTTTACACAGCACTATACATTTTTTATTCCAGCATGCCTGATTTCTTTCCCCTTTTCCCTTAAAATGACAACAATAATAGAGAGCTAGTAGACTCAATAAAATGTGGTGATCTATTGTGGGATAATATGGCAACTCTATTTTAAGAGGTAAGCCACCCTTTGGAAATGTAGATCATCCTGACTTTTTTTTAAAAAAGCACCTTTTTCATCCTCCTCATCCCATCTTTGCCTTCATCAGGCCTGAAACCTCAAAACCTGTTGACTTTCCAGAAGTGAAGGGGTTCATCATATATTTGATTTAGACTTTTGTTCAAGCACTTTTGGTGTAAGCTTTCCTATGGTGAAAGTTCATATGCTTTGAAGACCCCAGTAATTAATGTTGTGCTTAGCTCCTTTGTTCTTCAAAATACCGAAGACATTATTGAGATCTGGATAGGCTAAACTTATCTCATTGTTCAGTTTTTGAGTGTAACCGTTTTAACTTAACACCTAAAAGCATCCCAGGTATGCATCCATAGTCATATCATCTAGGATGTTCATCTCAGTCTGAAAAGCCACACTGCATTTTTTTTTCTGGCTTGGTACCGTCCAGATTTGTTGCGTTTCAGACCACATAACTCCAAATTTTAACCATTAAGCTGAATATCCAACCCATTGCCCAGGAAAGACTTTGCAAATGTGTGCAAAAGGCTGTATGAAAATCTCTCACATAGTGTATGCTGAAGGTTAGTGAGAAAGTTCTTTTAATATAGAATTCATTCTCATTCTCCAACCAGTCCTTATGCAGTAGAGGGATGTCTATATTCCTAATGGGGGAAAGATTTTCTTTTGAGGAAGCTGGCAGAGGCAACTTCTCCATAACAATGAATGTGGGGTGAGAACTGAATTCTAATTTGATCTAGGCTTTGCTCAGTATTTATGATTAATCAAGAAGTCCATAGGTTATAGCATTGTTTTATTTGAACAGAGACACAAAAGAGCCAGCTCTGAAGGACCACATGCTGTTAAGACTCCAAATTGCTCCTTTTTCAAACTAGAAAGCAAAACTGCCCTCTTGTGGAACACTCTAAAAACAACAGCCTATCTTTGATTCTTGACTTCCTCCAACATTAAATGCTCTGATTTCCTGTTGCTCATTTGGGGCCATTCTCAACAGGCAGAAATGCCTCACGATAAGACATCAAATACCAGGTGTAGGATGCCAGCAGATGAACACATCTTCATGCAGGTCTTCTAAGCGTATAAAGTCGTCTTCCGCTCAGACCTCTTGTGAGCCATTACTGCGTCCTTCCTCACCAGGGCAGAGGTTCCCCCCCCCCCC